GCGTTCCCTCTTCCGCTCCTCCAATTAGTCGAAGTCCAAGACCCTTTCTGCCTCTTTCTAATCTAACTTCAACATCAACTAGGTGTGTTCTTCCGTCTGCTTTGCCGAGTGGAGACGATGGGGCTGATGCCGGTGCAGTGGAAAACTCAAGCACAGAGTCAGTCATCGTTGTGTCTTCGGACACAATGTCGTGATTTGACTTTTGCCCTCTGAGGTAGATGGAAGCGGGTACGAAATCGGGTGTGTTACAGGGTCCGCTTAACCCAATGCCACGCACTTGGATACTCTTCAAGATGTCAACTTCTTTACTGTCATTTGCAGCCTTTTGGATTGAAGGCGATTTCACCGACCTCGTACGAAGCAAAGGCATCGTGAATAATGAAGTTGACGCGTGTTGGACTGCGCATTGGAGGCGGCGGATTGCATCCAGCCAATCGCCCGCCGCATCGTAAGCAGTCCGGCCAGTGCTGCTCGGAGCGTGGCACAGCCAATCTCGTGGCAGCACTCAGGTGAAGGCGGTATTTGCATGGCGACTTGTCACCTTGCCAATATCAGTGGAAAATGACGCAACAATGTGACTCATCCGCCTAAGTGAATAATTGTATGTGGTTTGAGCATTGAAGATTGTCTACTGTTAGAATGGTTTCGTAAAATGTGTAAAATTGGATGTTGTGAAATACAATTTCAAAGTATGACACTAACTGCGCCTTCGATTTGGTTGAATTAAGTAATGAGCTGATTTGGTAGCAGAGCGACCCCAAACCAGCGTGTAATAAAAATGCCTCAGAATATCTGCTGTCACTTAAATTGGTACATGCGACGCCTTGTTTACTTTTTAACGCCTTGTCCCCAGTCCCATGGGCGTCATGACCTCAAGACAGACACAAGACCCTGTGGTGCACTTCGTTTGATTTAAAAAAGACGTTCATGTGCTAGAGCATGATTTATGCTTGAACAGGTGCCTTAGGTCACAGGTAAGGTCAGCCTTATAAATAACATTGGCTGCAAAATAATGATGCTCGGG